TCTGAGAGGTATTTCCCCCATGCTGTTGCAAAATCCATATGGGGGAGGGGGGACAAACTAAAATAGCACATGGAAGCCAAAGTCCTGGCCACTGCAAAGGGTACGGGCATGCCAGTGACTCTGCGAAATGAGTTTAAACCAGAGGTCGCAAACCGGTGGCCAGCTGGCTGCGTCCAGCCCACAGATGTGTTTTGTTTGTCCCGCAGTGCTGGGCCACACCACACTTTTAAAGAAACTTAAATTGGCTGCCAATGCTACCAACCAGAAGAACACTGAAATACCAATTCAGGTTCTAGTTGCTCTGCTTCTGATCCAACTCCCTGTGATGCAGCTGGGGAAGCAGAAGACAATTCAAGTACTTCTGCTACCCATGTGGGAGACCCAGATGGAATTCCAGGCTCCTGGTTTCAGCCCAACCCAGCCCTGGCTGTTATGGCCATCTGGGGAGTGAATTAGTGGATCAAAGATCCATTTCTATCTCCCTATCTCTGCCTCTAAAATAAATATATCTTTATTTAAAAACAGAAAAGAAAAAAAGCAAGATCCTCAAGTGATTTGTGCACATTTAAAAGTTTCAAAAATACGGCACTACATAAGCATTGCACAACAGAAATATACTGTGAGTCAGAAGTGTAATTTTAGGAGCCAGCGCTGTGGCGCAGCAGGTAAAGCCTCTGCCTGCAGCGCCGGCATCCCATATGGGTGCTGGTTCGAGTCCCAGCTGCTCCACCTCTGATAGAGCTCTCTACTATGGCCTGGGAGAGCAGTGTAAAATGGCCCAAGTCCTTGGACCCTTGCACCCACGTGGAAGACCCAGATGAAGCTTCTGGCTCCTGGCTTCAGATTGGCACAGCTCTGGCCATTGCGGCCAACTGGGGAGTGAACCAGCGGATGGAAGATCTCTCTCTCTCTCTCTCTCTCTCTCTTTGCCTCTCCTTCTCTCTCTGTGTAGCACTGACTTCCAAATAAATAAATAAATCTTTTTTTTAAAAGAAGTATAATTCTGAATTTTCTAGTAGCCACATTTAGAAGATAAAAGGGGGTGAAATTAATTTTAACAGTATGTTCTGTCTCACTTAGCATGAATATTATAATTTCAATACACAGTTAATATAAAATTGTGAATGGACAAGTCAGCCTTCCGCATGGTTTACACTTACAGTACAGTCTCACAAGTTCAACAGTCACACGAAGTCAGCAGCTCTTAGACCAGCACAAGGAGCTCCGATCACCAATTGCCTCCTTGTTCTTTCTATCCCTTGGTGCGACACATTTTACTCTGTCTTATTTGGCGCGTTTGTCTGCTACTCCCCTCCCCCTCCCCACAATGTCACTTCCAAGGGAGCAGGTGCTTTACCTGTCTTGGTCACCACCTTCCCCCCAGTATCTGAAACAAACAACGCACATTAATACTTTTTAAAATATTCATTGAATGAGAGCAGGCACGGAGGATGTAACCCTTCTCGTTCTTTCTGTATGGCAACGTGGCAGAGGGGAAGAAATCGGCATGCTGGAGTTGGACAGATGCAAGTGCAAAGTCACCCTGAACCAGTCACTGGCCCTCTCGAAGCCACCTGAGAAAGCTGCCACGCAGCTCCCAGCACCATCAGGACACCCAGCGGGACACAGTTCCATACCACGCCAGCCCCCAACAGCAGGCACCCCGTAAACCCAGTGCCTTTCTGATACTTCTTCCCTCTCCCCATTTTCCTGAGTTACTTCTCCCCGAGCCAATGGGACCTGTGTGTGTTGAATGCCAACAGTGAAGACCAAACCACGAAGGATCATAACCCGTCACCCTGGCGCTGAGTGGTTCCCCAGCGACATAGTCACAGTTCCTATGCAGTGTGTGGACCATAGTGTAGCAAACAGCTCAGGTCGTCTCTGTCACCTGGATGAGCTCTGCAGTGGCAGCTGGTTGGCCTGCCCCAAGCTCTCATCCCTCAGAGGAGTCTGCAACCTCTGCCTAGACAGCTTGGAGCAGCTCCTAAGAAAGGTGGTCGGTAGGTCAAGGCTTTGCCCTTTCGGGGGAGGGACAGGAGGGAAGGGGTAGGAGGTCTAATCCACCCCGACTTACTCATCACTGGCCTGTGTCACTCCACCGAGGGAGGTTTGCTTCGCTCTCACACCTCCTAATCCATTAGTCGATTCTGCCCTGAAAATCCGAGGCACATATTCTAATCTCCAATGTGTTTCTACATCACCTTAGATCGACAGCATAGGAGCAAAGCAAAACCCGGATGCAGAGATAACTAGAGTTATACCAAGGAAATCAAACTGCCAGGACTGCTTGGTGGAACACGAGGAGCCCCCAAGCCAGCCAGGTTGACAGCGGTTCCAACTTGCTGAAAACACAAAAACCAGGAATACTTGTGGAATTACTAGGCTGTCCTAGAAGCACCCTTCAAAAAAAAAAAAAAAAATAGTAGGTACACATGGGGGAATCAAAACCTTTAATTAACCTGTACATCTTGAATCAGGCAAATAGATTCCAGGTAGCACAGCCCGTACTGGAAGAAATTATGCCATTCAAATACAGAGTCTATCATTTGAAACATTCAGAGAGGGACCGGGGAAGCAAGTTAGGAGGGGTTTGCCTTACTGGTCTGAGCCAATACTGCTGTTTCCTTTTCCACTTGCAAAAGAAGGGGCCTGAAACAGTGGAACCAATGAAAATCTCACAAATGTCCCCAAAGCACTGCTGCCCCTGATGAGGCTGGGAGCTACCCAAGGACAGTCCCACGTGACTCCTGTGAGTCTCTGGGGCTTCCAGGAGTTTTCTCAGCAGTCCGTTTGGGGTGCCTGAGCCTCTCTCTGGATTGGATGCATGTGAACTAGCAGCACTGCTAATCAGCACCCCAAGCATTACAAGCATCCCCCAGGGGCAAAGGGGCAAGGTGTTGGGGTGCAGGCGGAAGCACAGAGACACCACAGGGTCCTCTTTAGTGAGGACCAAGGGAATCTTGTCCCAGCCACACCTCTTCAGTTGAACAGTTCTAGAGGTAACTACTAAACATCAACACCCAGCCCCAATCCCAGTGCTGGTTGGGTACAGAGGCTGGGAGTAGCAGAAAGCTGGGAAAATACCTCCAGGAGCCATGTTGTGACAGCGAGGTATTTTATATAGCTTCTCTCCCCAGCCTCTGTGTAAAAGAACATAGCCAAAGCCAGCATCTTCTCTTTCATTCAAAAAACCCTCCAGACCCCTCTGTGGGACTCCCTGACTTTACACATCCCACCAAGCACTCCTCAACAATTTCACTTTAAGTCATCTGGATAAAACACCCCCTCTCCTATTTCCAGCTGTCACAAAGCAACCCAAACACATGTTGGAAAGATTTGATCTTTCTGCCTCTCTCAAAGGGCATCTGACACTTTTCGCGACACACAGCTTTAAAATTAGAACTGGAATAAGAAACACAACCGTTACCCACACTGGGGCCAGAGAAGAAACCAGAACATTCTCCACAACCGACAATGAAACAACCGAAGGCTTCGGAGACATCAGAGCCCTTCTTTATTTTGCTGTTGTTGCATTAATCATTCTAACACCTTTTTAATTATAATCGCAAACTGGAAGCCATGGCTTGTGATGTTATAAATACTGATTTTCCAGTTAAATTGGGCATTTGCTGTTTTATGTTTTGATAGGAAGGGGCTGTTTGAAGCCTCCTAAAATATTGCAATTAGTTCTCGCTGTTGAAACAGACAAGACATTAACAGACACATTTGCTGTTTCAGTATAATGTGCTAGAATGTTTATGCCTTAGAGTGCTTTTCTCAAGCTTTTAAAGCATAAGGCGTATTTTTTTTAAGACTGGGAGAAATCAATCACAATACACACATGTATTATATATTTCGGAAGTTATCTGCGAAACTTTCCCAGGCTGCCACTGAGACCTAGAAAACACCACCTTCAACAGGAAGGCCACCTGTCAAGGAAGCAATTGTACCGACCGGCTCTGCAGCGATGCTAGCTAGCATCGCTGCAGCTGACAATGGCTGTGTTTCTGTTTGACAATCGCAATTAATTACCGAAATGCAATCGAGACGGGGCCAGCCATCCAGATCTGTTTTCAAGAAACACAGAACACCACAGCGAGGGAGAGAAAAAGCCAAAGGAGGTTTGCACTGGGGGCATCCCCCGTGGCAGGGCTGTTGTAAATGCGACAGCCAGCAAGAAAGCCGGATTTTTCCATGTGTTTTGCCTGCACTGAACTTTCCAGTCTGCTCCCTTTCTCTCACCACCCGCAGCCCCGGGGGGCGGAAGGGGGCAAGATGAGCATCTCACAGGCAGATGCAAGCTCCCTCCCACCGGCTGCAAAGAAGGGGCTGACTGGAAAAGGCCAGGGCGCAGGGCACAGCACTCCCGGGGCGCCGGCTGCCACTCGGGGCATGGGAGCGCCAGATGCTGCCCCGGCGCGGCGTTCGTCCCGCCAAGGGGGACAGAAAGTTATGCAGGTGGCGGCATCATCCTGTCGTTACTAGAAAGCCAACGCCGGCGTCACCTTTAAAAACTCTGCCAGCCTCAGGGTGCTCCGACCTTAAATATAGAAAATACTCTGCTTCCAGCCATGCTGAGGGCGATTCCGGGGGCAATCCCAAAGCACACCCCATCTCCCGCCGCTGCGTGGAGCCATGCGGTCTCGTTCCTCAACCTCCCCCACGCAAAAGCCTTGCTTAGGACACGCACGGCGGGCGCGAGGGCTGGGGGATTCCCAGGCACGGAGCCGGGCGGGTGAAACAGGCGCCTCAGTGGGCGGGGGTGCCCGAGGCTGGGCAAGGAAGCAGCTCCGCGCTCCCTCGCCCGGGACCGAAGCCGTCGCGGGAGACAACGCAGCCCGAGCCACTCCGCCAGGGTTCGCCGAGCTCGCGGGGGACCAGGGGCCTCTCTCGGGACGGTGCCTGCGCTTGGAGGGCTCGGGAGGCGGCGGCTTCCCCTCCACGCGCGCTGCGCTCGCCCGCGCGTCCACCCGGTCCCGCCGAGCCCGGGGTCCTACCTGTACCACTCGAGCCCCTTGTCGTAGTTCCTGTCGAAGAAGTGCGGCTCCACGCCCACCGCCCGCACGTCCGGGTGCACTCGGATCGCCTCGAGCAGCGCGCGCGTCCCCCCTTTCTTGACCCCGATGATGAGGGCTTGCGGCAGCTTCTTCTCCCCGTAGTCCGGGGTGCCGGCGGCGCCGCCCCTCTCGCTGCTCCCGTTGGCCGCTCGCCGGCCTGCGAGCTCCTCGTCGGTGGTGCTGGACTCCTGCGCGTCCCTCTCCAGCAGCGCGCTCTGCGCTGTCACCATCTCGCTGGGGGCCAGCGGGGTCCTGAGCCAGGCGTCCCGGGCGCCGCCGCCGCTCGCCAGACCCCAGCCGTCCGCCCCGGGGCCGGCGGGCTGCTCGGGGGGCCCGGGCGGCTCCCCGCGGCTCGCGTTGTCCGGCGGCGGCGGCGCGGGCGGCTGCGAGGGGGCGCCGAGGCGCACGGGGGAGGGCGGCAGCGAGGGTGGCGGCGGGCTCGGCGGGGGCTCGGCGGCGGCGGCGGCGGCGCCCGGCGGCTCCTGCAGCGCCAGGGGGAACTGCAGGGAGCCCGAGCCGCCCAGGAGGCTGTAGCACAGGTAGGTGACAGACAGGGACAAGGTGCACATGAAAAGCAGCTTGCGCGCCGGCGGCCCCTTAGTGGAGGCGCCGGGCGGCGGCGGCGGCGCGGCGAGAGGTGGAGGCGGAGGCGGAGGCGGAGGAGGTGCGGGCCACGGGGCCATCGCGGCTCCCGGCTCGCGGCGGCGGCGGCGGCGGCGGCAGCCCCCGGCGCTGCCCGGACATGGTTTCAGCCGCCGCCCCCGCCGCCGCCGCCGCCGCCGCCACCGCTGCCCAGCCGCCCCGGCTGCATGAAGCGACGCCGCTGCGCCCCCGGCCCTGGCCGCTGTCCCGCTGCGCCTGGGGGGAGCCCGGCCGCATGGCCCCCCCCTCCGCCCCGCTCTGCCCGCCGAGTCCGGGCGGCCCCCACCACCACCCCCCCTCAGCCTCTGGCAAAGGGACCGAGGGGGGCGCGCGGACCCGCCGGCTGCACCTGCTCCGTCTGCAGCGCCCCCGCTTCGCCGGCTCCGCCGCGGCTCCTGCTCCAGCCTCTGCCGCCGCCGCGCGCTGTTGCAGCCCCGAGTTCCTTCCCCGCTGCTAACTTTCTGCCGGGAGAGCGGAGAGGCGCGGAGGGGAGGAGGAGGGGGCCGGGCGCGCGCGCGACGCCGCCGAGGGAAGGGGGCGGGGGGTGCTCCTCGCGCGCGCCGGCGAGGGGGCGCTGGCGCGGGGGCGTGCGCCGGGGCTGGGGCGTCCCCGTCGCCACCCTACAGACCCGCGCGTCTGGCGTGCGTGCCCCCCCGCCCCACCCGGGGCTGAGACGCCAGGTCCGTTAGGTCTTCCGCGACACTTTTAGGGGACCGAGAACCCAACGCCAGGCGCAGGTGCCCGTGCGCGCCCCGGGGAGCTGGAGGCTGGCGGGTGGTGATGAGCGCTGGCATCCGCTGGTCCCCTGGGACTCCGAGCAAACTCAGCCCAGCCCTGACTTCGCCCTTCTCTCACCCTGGTAGTCGTTCTGCCTAGGGTCCAGGACGGATTCCTTCTCCACCCCCCAGCTTTCCCAACCCAACTTCCATCTTCCCAGCTACCCATCTTGAGGCTCCTGGTGGGTGGAGCTTTGACACAAACCTCCCGTTTGCGGGTCCCAGAGCTTTTGCACCTGTCCCGTCGCCCGGCGACTGTACTTTCTGCTTCCCGGGAGAAGGCTGCCCCCTCTTGTACACCCTTCACCGCAGGTGAACTCACCTGCGCCCCCGCGGAGGTGAAGGGACGGGGAGGGGAGCGGCGAGGGGCACTGCCCCTGAAGGAGTCCAGGCTTCCCTGGACTGGCATAGCCCGGGACTAACATTGCTCTCCACACTGATCAGCAGACTAGCGGGGTTGCAGCGCTGTCTGCGCACCGCCTCCTGCGGAGATCCCCGCCCCTCACCTCCCCCTCCTAGAAAGAAACAAACAGCCAAAGGATTTGGAAGACTCACAACTGGACTCTGCCTCCTGTTGCCTTTTGCCCGGAGCAGTGAAGGAAGCGGGAAGCTGGAATGGGGGAGAAGGAAGCGCTCCACGGAACACTCTGCTTCCTGGAAACAGGGGCTGGTCCAGTGCGCAGCCCGGCCAGCGTCCCCCTGGGGCGGGCTGGGGTGAGTGCCTCCTGTCCTGCTGGGTGCCTGGCAGGTCCGCCTTCCCCTGGCCGGGCTGGTGTGGCTGGCATCTCTGGCTTTGTTTGATCACATAATAGGAATGGCAGTTGAATGGTAATGTATATAATGTCTAAATATTAACAAGATACCGAGCGCCAAAGAGAGAGAAAAATGTTAATCAAATAAGATGAAGAACACGGACTTTTCCCGGAGTGAACAAAAGCTCACTGCTGCTCTCAGCTGGACACGGGGTTTCCTTCACTACAGCTTTCGTTCAGATAAAGATTATTCCTTTATAATATATTTTTTATGGTACCCTGGAGACTTCTGAAATGCAGAGTCTGGTGTCTTGCAAATCATTCTGTGTAACTAGGGAGGCTTTTCAAGCACCACACAACTGCATTACCGTCATGTTGCTGGGAAGGTGCCAACCGGAGCCCAGAGAAACCCCAGCTCTGCCCAGCCCTGTTTCCGCTCCGATCCCAGCTCAGGAGTCAGCTGGGAAGCAGTGAATAGCTCCACCCTGGAGGCCTCCCTCCCCTTGGGGATGCCCAGCCCATAGCCCAGGTCTTCCCTGCGGTTCATGCCTGGCAGTCAGAAACTTCTCAGTCCGCCCTTTTAGCAATCCGGAGAACCTGCCTGCACTATATCTAGTGCCACTAAAGATGTGCGCTCAAAGATTTGGAAAGGTTTTTGATGAAAATGATATGAAACACTAGCACAGAGATGGCAAACAGAGAGCTGCATATGGCCAAAACAGTGATCGTAAGGAATGTCAACGGGCAGAGCAGGCATTGTGGCACAGGGGGGAAAGCCACCGCCTGTGACGCCGGCATCCCATATGAGTGCCAGTTCGAGTCCCAGCTGCTCTGCTTCTGATCCAGCTCCCTGCTATGGTACCTGAAAAAGCAGTGGAAGATGACGAGTGCTTGGGCCCCTGCCACCCACATGAGAGACCCAAATGGGGTTCCAGCCTTCAAATAAATAAATAAATCTAAACTGGCTACAATCATTTCACATTGGGAGCTTCCCCTTAAAAAAAAAATCTGCCCATGAAATTTCTGTTGAAAAATGAGCAGATCCAGAACTTTGGGACCCTCAGCCAGAGCCGAGAGGCTGCTGCCCCATTAAACAGAGCACACGTGCACTGTTTTACCTGAGATCCACCCAGATTGCACTTGTTTATGTCACTCGCCTGGACACTGCCAATAAGGAGACTTCTCCTTACCTTGTCCCTCTAATCCCCAGGTCCTCACACTCCAAAGAGTGGAGCCCACTTGGCAAAATGTCAGACCCTGTTAGTGATGGGGAGAAGATGTGCGTGGTTGTTTTGCTGGTTGGTTGTTTTAGAGAGATTTGCCGATTTGATGCTTAGACAGTTGCCTGAATTTTTGTGTGTTTTTGTTGTTGTTGTTGTTGTTGTTGTTTTTAATGCTTTCCATCTAGGCTTCTCCTAGGAGCAGGTCCTAGAGAAACTACAATAAAAAGTGGGTTCTGTCAGCATAGGGAGAACTGCAGCTTCGTTCAGCAATCCCCAGTGGTCTGGAGAGTAGATAGAAGATGGTTTTCTGTCCCCACCCCCACGACACTAAAGCTCAGCGCTCATGCCTCCCTGGTTTGTACAGTAACCCTGCAGCTGGTCTCTGGGCCTCCAGTGTGCCTCATTTATATTTATCCTGGGCCACAACAGCACATCAGTGATTGTCAGCTCTTCGAATGCGTTGTGGTGCAGGGGTTGAAGCTGCAGCATGCAACACCAGTATCACATGTAGCAGAGCCAACTCCTCGGCTTGCAATCCAGCTTCCTGCTAACCCACTTGGAAAGGCAGCAGAAGGTGGCCCAAGTGCTTGGGCCCCTGCTCCCACATCAGAGATCCGATGGAGTTCTAGGCTCCTGGCTTTGCCCTGGGCCAGCCCTGGCTGTTGTGGTCATTTGGGGGAATGAATCAGCAGTTGGTTCTCTCACTGCCTATCTAATAAACTTCAGCCTCTTTACTCTGCTACTCAAGGTATACTTCCACCTCTCATGTGTCTCAGTCCTGCAAGCCAAACAGGACATATCCAAACATACACCTTGCATGAGTCTGTTGTACATGGTAAGATGGTAGCATTGAAACAAGCTGTCATTTCCTAGCTACTTGTCTTGTGGACAGGTCATTTCACCTCCCCAGGCCACAGTTTCTGTATATAAAAGTTAGGAGTAATAATACCTCAAGTTGCTTTTGTAAAGAATAAAATTAAATTTGCAGGTATATGCAAAAATACCTGGCTTCCCATCTGACATGTCAAAGGACAGCCACCCATGATTATTTGCAACTAAATTATTGGCATCTGGGGCCAGTGCTATGGCACAGTGGGTTAAAGCCCCAACCTGCAGCACCTGCATCCCATATGGGCACCGGTTCAGGTCCCCGCTGCTCCTCTTCTAATCTGGCTCTCTGCTATGGCCTGGGAAAGCAGTAGAAGATGGCCCAAGTCCTTGGGCCCCTGTACCCACGTGGGAGACCCAGAAGAAGCTCCCGGCTCCTGGCTCCTGGCTTCAGATAAGCTCAGCTCTGGCCATTGTGGTCATTTGGGGAGTGAACCAGCAGATAGAAGACCTCTCTCTCTCGCTCTACTTCTCTCTGTAACTCTTTTAAATAAATAAAACAATTCTTTAAAAATAAATAAATAAACTCTTGGCTCCTGCCACACCCTGTCTCTTTTCCTGCTCAAAAGTTGTGGTTGAAAAGCAGGTATATACCTTTTCTTCCAAACCATCCCAACTTGTAAGCTGAAGTTCATTTCCCTAAGCTACTCAGGTCATAACATTTTTAATGCCAAGTCTAATGCCTCCCACAGTTTTTGTTAAGTAATAGAAACTAAGCCTTTTTGAAGAAAATTACTTGAAGGGTTTATGGTAACTTAGATAATTTAAGGAAATTTTTTAAAAAAGATCTATTCATTTATTTGTAAGATGGAGTTGAGGGGGCAGAGACAGAAAGAGAAAGAGATCTCCTATCCATTGGTTCACACCCCACATGGCACCAATAGCCAGGACTGGGCCAGGTTGAAGCCAGGAGCCAGGAGCTTCATCCGGGTCTCCCGTGTGGGTGGCATTTGGACCATCTTCTGCTGCTTTCCCAGGCACATTAGCAGGGAGCTGGTTCAGAAGTGGAGTGGCTGGGACGTGAACTGGAGTTCACTAGGGGTGCTGATGACCCAGGCGAAAGCTTAACCTGCTGATAGCAACACCAGCCCCAAGGGAATTTTTTAAAAATTGTCAAGCAAGGGAAAAACAGACAGACTATGAAAGGACAGTATAGGGTGTATAGGAGTCATGAGAAACAGTCACCAAATATTGCGCAGTCTCCTTGCGGACACATGGTAAGGCTATCCTTTCTCCACCTCTGATGATTACGTGTGATTAGGGGATGTTTTGACTAATGAAACACAAGCAGAAGTAATGTTTCTCCCCTCCAGGCAGAAGCTTGGGAGCTAAGTGGCAGATTTGCCACCATCTGTTTCCCCCGCGTGGCGGCTGAGGAGGAAAGGGGTTGAGACTCTCTCTTAGCCTCCATTTCTCAGTCCTCCACAGTGAGTAGGGACAAC